ACATGATTTAACTTGTGCAAGAACATGGATGTGTTCATGTACAAGTACTTATACATGAAATTGTACATGAACATTTTCTTGTACAAGCATCTTTCTTGTACAAGATCTTGCACCAGATCTTGTACAAGATCTCACACATGAACTTGTTCCAAATTCGTATGCATTTTCCTGTACAGGAACTGGTCAGAACTTGTACAAGTTCAGTTGCTGATCCTGTACAGGAAATTGTACAAGATCTTGTACAGGGATTTTCAGTAGGGAAGTATCACCAAACCAAAAACCGTTTTCCCACCAGTCTTTTGTCGACTTCGACAATGTTAGTTTCGATTTTCTAAAGCGTATATATCTCCGTGTGATTGAAGTGATATTTACACAAAGTAATGTAAAAAAAAATAATTTTGTCTTAGTGTATATTCTATATAAATTTGTATGTTTGTATTCTGTATTGTATATAATATGTAAATAATGACGATGTTGAAGTACGCAACATTTATGATAAACGATTTTTCAAGAAATAATTTTTTTCAATGAAAATTTTAAAAAAATTTTACTTAAAAAATATTTTTTGTAGAGCTTATTAATTAACAAATTATAAAAAAACATTTTTAAATAAACTAGGGTAAATGCACTAATTGTGGCGCGATTCGAGTCAAAACACTTTTGAAATAGAATATTCAACATTTCCATTGTATAAACTCAATTTAAGACTTATTAAACTAAAAGGTTATGTTATTTATATATTTAAAAAAATTTTTAACTTTTTAAAAATCGATTAGTTAAACAAATATGAGAAATTAAAACTAATAACGTAATTTTCTATTGCGGCGCGTTTGTATCAATTTCGGTGACCAAAATTACGTGTATTTTGATGATACTTTGCCTCTCGAAATTAGAGCCATTGGAAATCTTAAAAATGTTTCAATTGCGGCGCGGAAAAAAATTTGATCTTCAATAATTAAAATAATAATTGTTTAAATGTGCATCTTTATAATTAATTGTATAAAAAAAGATTAAAATAATTTTTTTAAAATCATTTTGCAACAGTTATATTAAATATAATAGTAAGAATAGATATTTTTTATGAATGCGCCGTAATTGATGCTCTCGTCGTAATTGGTACATTTACCCTATTTTATAATTTTCCGTGTTAAATAAAAATTAATTTCGAATCGTTGATTATAAACGTTGCGTACTTCAGCATCGTTATAATGTTTGTATTAATAAATAAATAAATAATAATAATAAATAAATCAAATAAATGGACTATATGGCCACCACGGAAACTTGGATCTTTTACCTTATTTACGGTCATATTGTAAATTAAAGCTGATGACATTTGTTAGTAAAAATATAATATTAACAAATATTAATGCTATATAATAGTTAATATTATATTTGAGACCGTTGAATTTCTCTGATTCCAACTGTACGTTTTACTTGAAAGTATGGAAAATAAATTCTTAATATATATAATTATTTTATTTTTCATACTTTTAAGTCGAACAACCTACCATAAGAATCAGAAAAATTTAAGCATCTCAAATATAATATTAAATATTATGTAACATTAATATTTATTAATATTATAATTTTACTAACATATGTCACCAGCATTAATTTACAATAGGGTCGTAAATCAAGCAAGGGACAAAATTTTTCCGAAGGTCATCTCATAATGACCCTAATGAGACTAAAAACTTCCTAAACAATCCTACAACATTTTTACTGACGTCCCTTCTTTCTACCTTTTTGATACTGCAAATTTAACCCTACACTTACTAGAATCAACCTAAAATAGGAGAAAATGGACGAAAGCGACACAGTTTAGGCTGACTGTAGGCTCTTTAGGTTCATTTCTCTATTATAGGACCCTTTATAAAAAAATTTTTCTAAAATTTAAAAATTAATTGGATTTGCTAGAAAACATATTGCAAGTAATAACATTCCTCACAGCATCAGATATCCTAGGATATTCCAAAAACATCCCTTGGATATCCTAGGGACACCCCAGAGATATCCTAAAAATACTTTAAGGATATCCAAAGTATCGGCGATTAGAATACCCTAAGGATATCCCAGGGATATCTAAGGATGTTCCTAGGACATCCCAGGGATATCCTAATCATTTCCCCGGATATTATTAGGATATCCTGTGGATATCCCTGGAATAATTTGAAAAATACATTGAAAATAGTATTCATCTACATTCTCATCAGTACATAGTATTTAACATGATTTATTTTTAAACTTATGTAATCCATTATTATTTATTAATTTGAATTATTTTATAACTAACACCATGTTTTCCAAAATTGTTTGTATTTTTTAACATTTGCATACTTCAAATTAATTTTTTTTTAAATTTTCTAAGAAATAATGACTATTTTATATTTACCCCTAAATTTTAGCAAAGTTGAAAAATTTAGGGGTAAATAGAAACAGTTGATTATTGCGATTTAATAGTATCCATATTTTCTACTACCCCATAAAATTGTTCCACGCAAGTTAAATAATAACTCAATACATAAAAAAACTGAAAGTATTGTGATTTAAAAGAAAAAACTTATATTATTGGTGAAACTTAGCAAATCTGTTTCTATTTACCCCAACTGACTACAAAATAATAAATAAAAAGGAATGAATACAATATGAATAAAATAAAATTTATGAATACAATAAATAAAAAGATATTATAGATATAATAGAATATATAATATATTAATGGAAAAATTTTGAATTTAAGGGTTGTTTTGGGGAGTGGGTTAAAATTTATTTTCGAGCAGAGAATTGTTTCAAATTGTTTTATTTATTTTTTTATTTATTATAATCAGTATTTGAGAATAAGGGTTGGATTTTTTTTAGTTTCAACTCCAATTTTCTTAATTTGACCTGATGGAGCATTTTGGACACCGGATTCATGTTCAGCGCAAAAGAATATCAATTCTTTTTAAATCTCTAAGTATACCTACTGCTTCAAATGCCAGTTTGGAAATCATTGCGTTTTTTCATCCCACATAATTACTAGATATGATATTACTTTATTTCCATCAGTGGAATTTGAATTTATACTACAAGTTGTTTTAAAAAAACAAATAATTTAGTTTGTATAACGAATAAAACAATTGTACCTAATGTTAAATAATTTTTGGTTGTTCAAAAGTACCAAATAGTTTAGTGAAACCTAAATTAAATTAATTCTTTAAAATAACTCATTATATTCGTAAAAATCAATTATTTATTTAATCAATATATTTTTTAAGAATATTTTTGTTCTTAAACAAAATATTAGCTTTATAACGTTTATTAATTGTATAAAACATTAATTGTTTGATAAAATTTTATAAAATAATTGTATAGAGAAGGTCTTCTTTCAATCATTATGTAATATAATTTTTATAAGGTTTATATAAAGTATTAAAAAAATTCTTAAAAATCTGGAAAATAATAATGAATTTAATATAATATTAATGTCTTTTTCATATATAATATAAGGAACATGTAAATACATGTCACTTATATATGTTTTTCCATTGTAGGGAAATAATAACCTAGCAACAAATTTTATCAACAAAAATAGAGTAAAACATGTAATACACTAAAACTACCTGTTTTTGTTTTGAGTACGCTTCAAACTTTCTTTGAATTTATGTAAAGAGGTTTGTCAAAAAAAGAAAAATAAACAACGCAATTTCGTTAACAAATAAATTTTGAAAAAATAGATTCAAATATTGCGTCAGAATTCTTTATATTTATATGTAAACGTTTTTGTCAATAGAGGGAAATTTTTTCTTAAGTATAAAACAAATATAAAACATTTCCCTCCTACTTAAGAAAAAACAAATACAAAACGTTAAAGTTGTAATTTTATATACAGCTTTTCATAGACAGAAAGTTTCTATAAGTCACTGATGGTGGTTGTGCACAATGAAGTTTTTAAGTATATTTATTGTTAGTTTCATTTTTGAAAAAGAAATCCTAGGAATATCATCAACAAGTAATTATTTTGATGAATTGATAAAATATCTCAAGAAGGATTCCAAATTATATCAGGTTGTATTTATTCTTGACGATGAACAAAATAAAATAGATCCAATTATGAATTCTCTTATTATAACAGTCAATTCGCATTTTCCATCTTTGAGCTTAAGTTACAGTGTACTTTTGAACAGACTTGAAAAACCACACTTAAAGTTACTTATGCGACCCAGAAGTACAACACTGTTTATTTTACAATTGAGTGACTATGAAAAGATAATTCAATTTTATAAATCTATACAGTATAAGAATGACTTAGTAAAAGACTCATCATTACCAAGATGTTTACTTGTAAAAACTTTTCCGACAACTTATGAGCACTTGGATGAATTATGGCAAAATAAGTTTTTGGACACTACTTTATTAACTTACAATAATGAATCAGTAACACTTAAACCAAATTGGAATGAATTACCTATTTTAAGTTACATAAATCCTTTTACCAACGAATCCTTTACTCAGGTGGTATCAGCAAAAAATCAATGGTTTCCAAATAAATTGTTGGATCTAAATGGATTTGAATTGAACTTCCTTAATGTATGTGATTATGAATCTGACGAAAATGAAAATATAAAGGGATTTAAATTTATCAACTTTTTAGCACAAGCGATGAATTTCAAACCAAATAAAATGATATTTTACACTAATGGTTCACTTGTTGACAGAGAAGCGGATTACTTAATTACAAGAATAAATATACATCCTGAAATGTCGATATTTATGAAACCCACTTTTCTTGCTGGTGATTTCCATGATAATATGCGAATACTAAAATACGATTATCTTAAAGCTATTATTCCAAAAGTGATTAAAAGTACTAATAATGTTAAGCTTTCATCAGAATTTTGGTATATGATTTTAATAACAATTGGTACGATTGCTATTTTACGATTGATGGCATTTTTTATGAAATTCAATAAAAATACATGGCAAACTTTTAATCTCACTCGAATTTTAATGGGAATTTCAACAACCCAAGAACCGAAGAATTGGACAGAAAGAATAATTTTTGCCTCACTATTGATTACATGCATTGTCTATACAAGTTGGTTCTATACGATAATTTTGGACATTAATTTTCGACCAATAACTTCTGAAATTTCAACTTTAGAAGAACTAGCCGCATCGGACTTGACACCAATAATGGATGATGATTTGATTTTTGCACATTCCTTCAGTGAAGCTATTAACACATTCGTGAATGATTACAAACCGCTTCAACATAACCAAGAGGAAGATTGTTTGAAAAGATTGATTAATTATCAGAATATCAGTTGTGTTCTTGTTAATGCTGCATATCATGTTAACAAGTATGAAGCTAAAAATGGCAAATCAGAAAAAGTTAAATTGAAAATCTTAGAAGAAGCTGTTGCATATTCTACTAATAGTTTCTCAGCAGTGAGTTTGTCACCTTTTATCGATCGATTTAATGAATTAATGCTTAAAGCTTCAGAATTTGGATTTCTTAAAGATTTTTATGAACCTGTTGTAGACCCAATAACTGAAATTATTGAGCCAGAACTGATTAAAAAGGAGAAACTTTTTCCCGTACTATTTGGTGCATTAATTATTGGATATTCTCTTTCGTTAATTGCTTTTATTTGTGAAATAATTACATCAAAAATTAAGAGAAAATTTTTCAACAAACCAAAATTTCGATTTGTAAATTAAAGACTGTGATGCAAAAAAACTTTTGGTAAGAAAATTTTTCACTTTAATATCTAATAAGACTTAAATTTTTTCTCAACCATTATAGTTTACGTTATTTTTAGAATGCCAAGTGCTTATTTTTTATAATGACCAAGTTTCTTTATTTGGAGATAACTTGATTAATAAAGTCAAGAACATATAGCTATATAGTTGACTTGATAAATAGAACGAAAACTTACAAATCAATTTTATGTTGGGCTGAGCACTGAAGAAAAAAACAAAAAATGGATCATTTTGGGGCTTCAATTATATGAGAAGAAATTTATGAAATATCAGAGTGAAAGTTATCAAATTTTGTTCAAACTTCGCCAAAAATGTTGTCATTGTTAGAGAAAGTATTAATACCAAAAATTATTCAAATTAATATAAAACATTTTCTCAGTTATTATAGATTTGTAAAATATTTCAACTTTTTGAGAACCTAGAAATTAAATCATAACAAAATTTTGAAACGCAAACTTGTTTAGATTGAACTTCATTATATAGACCCACTTTACAGCTAACAATTTGTTACCTTTAAATTAAATCAATTAATATTTTAATTGATTTTTGTAATAAAAATTAAGGGTCTAGGTTTTTTTTTCATTCATAATTTTCACACATAAATAAACTATTTATTTAATCTAAATATTTTTTATTTGTTTTCATAAAATATTATACTAGCATTAAATACTGCGTTATTTATATTAAATAATTTAGTTTACTTGTATCAATAAAATAAACTTTTTGTGTTAAATAATTTTTATTTGCATGAAAATTTTTTGTTTTTCTAAAATAAAATATTAGTATTAATTAATACATTATTCGTATTAAATACTTTAGTTTATTTGAATCCATGAAATTAATTTATTGTGTCAAATAATTTTTCTTTGTATCAAAAAACCAAATATTTGAGTAAAATAAATAAATAGTTTCAAATAACCTACTATATTTGTTTCAAATAAATATTTAATTGATCGAAATATTTTTTGTTTTTATAAAATATTGTATAGTAATATTAAAAACCGCTGCCAAGTTAAAGTATAAACTTTTTGTGTTCATGAAATGAACACTTTGCTTCCACATGGAGATTTTTTGTGATCAGTTTATAGTAACTTATTTAGTATTATAATAATTTTAAAACGGTGGTAAGTTGTACTTTTTGGGCGTTTGGAGAAATAGATTTTTAACATCAATAACTAAGTAATATTTTACAATAAAAGGTTCAATAATAGATCAATTGAGTCGTTTTTAAATATTCTCCAAGTTTTTCATAATATTTTTAAAGATACATAAAGATGTTTTAATAAATGATGCAAAAATGGTAAATTTTTTAAAATTTTCAATTTCAAAATGTTAATATCTCTGGATAAAATATCAGTAGGATATTCGCTAATAGGTCAAAAGATGCGTCTTGAAAAACTCTACAAAAGTAAATATATATTGATGTCAACACTTTTTTTTTAAGTTATAGGCAAAAAACATTTCTCTCTAATTTTTAAAAATTCAATAACTTAGGATAAAATATCAGTAGAATGTTCGTTAATAGCTCAAAAGATGCGTCTTAATAAACTCTACAAAATTAAAGAAAAATATTAATAGGTGTTCCAAATTTTTTTTTAAAGTTATGGGCAAAAAAACGATTTTTAAAAAATTCTAAATTCAAAAAAATAATAGTTAATCTTTATTAATATACCCTCACAGCACCAGATATCCTAGGATATTCCAAAAACATCCATTGGATATCCTAGGGATACCCTAGGGATATCCTAAGGATACTTTAAGGACATCCAAAGTAGCGGCGGTTAGGATATCCTAGGGATATCTAAGGATGTCCCTAGGACGTCCCAGGGAACATATTTTTTGGATGTATTTATAATGTATTTCCAAGATATCTAAAATGATTTACCTTGTCTACAAGTATTCTTTTTTCTACTTTTACTTTAAAAAATCTCTTGAAACCAACTTAAGCGCTAACTATGAAACACTTGCTCAACTTTACATATTTTATGTTATTTGGCACAATCTAGCCCACTGCTCCATGTGGGCAAACAGCCGAGTTGTTCATCCTGTCCCTGGTCTTCGCTGCACAGTGGTTAGAATCTTTAATTTACTGTTCAAAAAAGTCACTGAACAAGATCATTATAGAATTTATAATATATTATATATATGTATATACAGTTTGATTAATATGTAATACCTAATAATAACATCACCGGGAGGGAAAGTAAATTTCCCTCCCGCTCAGTGACGTCACCGGGAGGGAATGTAACTTTCCCTCCCGCTCGTCAGAAAAGACATACTTTTCTCCCGCTGCACAGGTATGAAATGGTGTACTTTCGGTGCGTGTGTTAGAACAAAAAATTTTCATTCGGTCAGTCCCATAAAAAACGAATTTAAAGTGTCGAAAATCGCATTTTTGGCTTAAAAATATGCTCTAATTATCAACTTTAAGGCCCAGATTTGAAAGATGATTGACAATCACGGGAAACCTATTTGTATCAAAATATCGCTATCTCAAATTGTCAAAATTTGAATCATAATGATATCCTAGTGAGATCTTAGCGATATTTCTAGAATATTTTAACGATATACCAAGTTTATCCCAAGAATATCCCCACGATATCACTAGGATATCCCTAGAATATCCCAAAAATATCCTACGTAACGGCGGTTTGGATGTTCTGAGGATATCTTAGGATATCCTATGGACGTTTTGAGGATATCCTACATTAGTTTAGGATATCCTATGGACGTTTTCAGGATATTCTACATTAGTTTAGGATATCCTCAGGATATCCTTTTGTTGTGAGGCATATTGCATCCCAGTTTTTTTCAATGTGGAAGTTAAAATAGAGTTTGTTAGTAAGGAAGAAGAAAAGAAAACAATTAGAAGGCAAGAAGAAATAAGGGGAAGAAAGAAGTGAATAAAAATAGGTTAGAGGGGAAATATTTGAAATACATATGTAATACATTAATTTGATCTATAAAAAAAAGATAAAACAAAAACCTTAATTAATATTACAAAAAAAAAATTCAAAAAATTTCGAACTGGTTAATTAACAATAATTAATTTAATATTTTCAATAAATTGAGATATCGATTTCTTACCCGTAGTTCAATATATTGTTATATCTATATACACTATTCACTTAATGATTACTTTATAATTCAAAAAGTTCATTGACCCTCACTATTTGTATATAAATTGATCGATTACTCACAAATCTTCAGTTAAACAGACGCAACAGTGTTGATCAGATTTATCGAATTTATTTAAATTATCAAATATTTTTCTATGGTAATTAATTATATTTTCTTTATTATTTAAAAAAAAATCCTAAATAATAATAAAACTATTTTTATATAGTTGTGATGTGGATAATAGAGCTGTCGAAACGTTACAAAATTGAAGTTTTTCAATTTATACATTGACTTGGATGGATTAATATTTTCATCTTATTCATATATTATTTCTCCAAGCGATAAATTCTTCATAAGAATATAAGTAGTTTCCTTTTAATCACATTTCGAAAAAATTAATAATTGAGAGACAGGAAGTAACAGCATATTTTTTATATTTGGTTTTTTAAGATTTTTTCTTCCCAATTCCCCAAAAGTCTGGTTTTTAAAATTACCCTTTAGTAAAAATATTAACAATTACAGAAAATCATTTTATTTCCTTTTTAATAAGTTTTTTACTGTAGATATTTGACAAGAATTTATCCGTCCGAAAATCTCTAATAATACGTTGACTATAAATAATCACAAATACTATACTTAATAAAATGTTTAAATTCGTAAACAAATCTGAAGTCATATTTTAAAAATTCAAAATGTCAGATCCAATATGGTGGATTTGTAAAAATTCATCGAATTAACTTACAATTCGTTATTCGTGGGTTTTTTGGGTCGCTGATTACGAATTTGATGTAAGTTTTTAAAAATTCAAAATGGCGAATCCAATATTTAAAAATCGATTGAATTTGCTTAAAAATCGTTATTTGGAGGTTTTTGATATCGCTTATTACGAATCTAAAATCAGATTTTTAAATTCAGAATGTCGGATGACAAAATTTGAAAATTATTTATTTAATGTTGTCAATACAAAAATAACTGATTTTTTTTTCAACGAAGATTGTTCACGTTTTACTCAAATTTTGAGTGAAATTGAAGTTTACATATCGATGACACTTTTAAATATGTCGAAATAAAATTCTATAAAGTTTATTTTAAACATTTCCCAATTTCATTTTAATTTATTCGAAATTTGCTTTTCACATAGAGTTAAATAAAATGCGTCATTTTACTCAACTTTTTGAGTAAATAACTTTATCCAAATTGTTTTCTCATCCGTATAAACAGTGTTTATTTTTATATGTTAGTACTATAGTACTAAATTTTCTTATAAAGAAATTTATTAATATCTTATACTTATATTTAATAATAATTTTTATATAATAAATATCAAGATTTTCCATAGAAAATTGACGATAGGTTATAGAAAACTGCAAATATGTGTTTCTTCAAAATATCTTCATTTGTCTATATATTTTGTATATTTCGAGCATTTATCCCAATCGATCTTAATGAAAATTTTTGGAATTCATATAGATTGATTAAAAAAAATATTCTTTATCCATATAATTGGAATTTTTTATCTTCAGTAAACTGAAATTTTTTTTATGATTTTTCAATAAATCAGCTAACCCGGAGCTCATAGAATGAAGTCAATATTAGTATGATACTCATAAATTATCTTTGTGTGTACCAGATCTTGATATATATTTCCAGAAATTTCATAGATTCAATATATATTGATATATCTATATATACTATTCACTTATTGATTACTTTATATTGAGAAAAGTTCATTGAACCTTGCTATATTTGTATATAAATTGATTGATTACCTACAATTATTCAGTTAACCAAAGGCAACAGTGTTGAACAGATTAATTCCAATTTATTTATATTATAAGAAAATTTTTCAACATTTTATACGGTAATTATTCATATTTTAAAGTTAAAAAAAAATTATATATAATCTCTTAATATTTGAATCTGTGGAATTTCACTGTCAAATGATTTGATGTCGAAATATTTTATATGTTAAATGCGGTTTATAGCTATATATAAGATTTGGGGAATTTTCATGCGAGTCGCATTCATTTATCTAAACTTACATATATGATAAATAAATGCATAACGAGCATATTAAGTTAAACGTGGGACATTTTCATAATTTATTAATTTAACCCTTAAATGTCACACTTTCGAAAAATTACATAAAGGGCATACTTGGGTGTTTGATACCCTTTGATGTGCAAGTGTTTCTCATTCAAAAGGGAATAGATATAAGTTATCTATTTAGCCATAAAATAGGTTTCAATTTTTTAATATACTTTTTTCCACTTTAGGAATTCAAAAATCATTTGGCCCAATTAACATTTAACGTAACTCTTACTTGACCAATTTATATTCATGAAAAAAATTTGTATTTCCAATTATAACCGGAGATTTTGAATTTCTTTTTGTACCGTGCACTGCCCGCAGCAGTGGTTTGAAATGAAAA